TGCACTCAAACTTACTCATTCAAAGCACTGAACAGCCCTTTTGTTTCTGGACTGTGAACCATCTCAGAGTTAGAATCTGCCTGAAGAGACAGGACTGTGTTCTTATTGCCCGTTCATCTCAGCTCAAACCGGCAACGGCTACCAAATCATGAAGTACATCTTACATCCTCCTGGACACTGGGATGCAGAATGTGTATTTGGTGCCATAGCTGTGAAACAGAACACATGTTTTCATTAGATAACATGAGGGTAGATTAGCTATTTTTCAAAGATTTTGATTTGAAGCATTTATCTTTCACTACTGCATCAGATAGCACTAGGTGGTTTTCCAGATCATTTTAATTTTTATTCTCATTTTTCACAAAACACAACACAAAAACATATCCTTTCTAAACTTGTTTTATCATTTTAAATAAAAGGAGTGTCTACAATAAAAAAAAAAAAGTTTAAAACGATTTTTAGAAATCTTTATGCCTTTATTTTGGTTTCATATGGTTTTGAAAAAGTTTTAAAAAAAAATGTAATGATTAAAAATGTAATGTAATGTAACCATGAATAAAAGTAACATTTAAATAAACGTATACAGACATCACATTTTTACAAAACTTGGAATGATTAATTAATAAGTATCATTTTGGGGAGTCGCACCACATTTTACAACCTATCTTCAAATTATCTGATATTATAAGACTTGTTGACCTTGACACGTTTTTTTTTTTTTTAAGAAATAATAATAAAAGATTATGCCAAACTACTTTTTCAAGAATCGTATTCCTTTGAGCCAATTTTTTTCATTGTTATGTCAAGACAACTGTGTCTCAATATTTTTGACTTTATGCACCTCGAAAAAAAAAACATTAATACAGAAATTTAAAACATGCTCATCTTAGAAGAGGTGTATTCGATTCACCGTTTGTATGAAAAGCATTTTTAATATTTAATAGACAGGAGAACAAATGAGCTTCACGTCATGACCCAAATGCTCCCAGGAGCCCGTATTTATTTTCCAATGTCTCACTGATGTCACTGCACAATCTGTCCCCGTGTCTGTTTCATGGCTGTCTGATTTTGGGGGCAGATTGCATAACATGTACAGGCGTGATGCATCATCCGGATTCTTAATCGAGGAGCTTTTTGTAATCTCAAAAGCTCAGTCGAATAAACCAAGTCATCCTTGCCTCCAGACTATCTAAACTGGCCCTATACTTTACGTGTCTACAGTAACACACACACATACGGAGACAGCCTTTTCTCACCCAGTACCCACTGCTGCCTCCTCATGGCTTCAGCCTCAAGGGCAAAGAGGAACGAATGGCAAACAGATACTGAGAGAGGGGGAAGATTGGTTCAGTCAAGCAAGATTCTTCAGAACCATGCACCAGAAAGGTCTGAGAGCTTGCAGTATAAAAGCAGAATTAGTTAAAAAAGAAAGGGGGGGGGGGGGGTTGTTTTAGATTCCTAACAACCAAAATTTGATTAGAACTTACAAAAGCTCAGGAGCTGAATTGTATATTAAAGGGGTCATGAACTGAGAAAATCCCTTGATCTTTTGACATATAAGAGGTCATTCTACTATAAAAACATCCTGTAAGTTTTGAGTTCTGAAACTTTCTCGTTAGTCTAAAAACAGCTCATATTGAAGCCAATTTGCCAAAATGACAGGTTGTGTAATGTGCCACTTTATGATGTAATAGTGTGGCTAAACCCCGCCTCTGCAGAAGAAGATAAATGCCTGCTTCTACATCGCTGCCAGTTTAGCCCCGCCCACCGATTCTACATCACTGCCTGTTTTGCCCCGCCCACCGATTCATGCATGTAGTGTAAATAACGAGAGGCAAACGATAAAGATGCTCCGAAGACAACAAGACACTGTGCAGTGCCATGCTGTAGAAAAACAATCTTTGCATTGCCTTTCTTCTGATCTCAACATTAGGAAAGAGTGGATGAACTTTATTTTTAATTAAGATCCAGAAGAACTAGGTCAGTAAGAACTTGGTCCTTTGTTCACTTCATTTTACCACGGATTCGTTAACAAACAAGGCACAATTCAACACAGGGTTTTCAGAAAGATTGAAACTAAAAGAATATATTGGCTCTGACAGTAATGTCGCACCACACAAGTGTGAGTGACTGTTTTTATTATGCGGTCACTATTGCTTTGTCTTATTACAGATCGCTTGATATGTACTGAGTATTTATGCATTTTAACCTGAATCAAAGCAGCGTCCATCTGTGAAGGCTGTAGGCTGTCAAACAAACACAACTGTTAGTCAATCACAGCAGTGGGCGTTTACTTCTGAGTCGACAATCCGCCACGTCTATTCAAACAGAGCGTTCTGATGAGGGGGGCCAAAACAGGACAGAAAATAGCCTATTACTTCTAAATTTAAATTTTGATGTAAAAATTATAAGTGGCCATCAGAGAACAGTACAAAATAATAAAGGCAGTTCATGACCCCTTTAATATAACCATAAGCATAATGTTAAACAGCTGTGTATCTCACATTTACAATTACTCAGACACAGATGAAGTAGGTAGAAAAGAGCTGAATATTTTTCAATTATTTTCACCATAAATACAAATGTTAACCTCTATTCTCTAAATAAGTTCATTCAGATGAGAGAGACATACAAAATGTCTGTCCCAGCACTGGAATTGAGAACCACTGATCTGAAGTAATGAAATGGCACTGAGGGATCATTGATGCTACAATGACGCCCTCTAGTGGCTATTATAACATTAATATTACACCGTGAAATCATTTTTTATAAATCTTCTGTTACAACTTTTGGTATGACTTATAGAAGCTAATCTGTTATTACTCATCATGCATAAAAATTACATGCTACATACATAACACTGAGCTAACAACAACAGTTTAACATACACAGTTAGCAAAAGTCAGTCGTCCAAAACATCAGAAGTGTATGCTGGATGTTTTGTTTTTTTTGTCCCACGATGTTCTGGAATGTTCCAGAAAGCACTAAAATATTCCAGAATATTACAGAAACTTCTAGAATGTTCCCATCCTTAGAAAAGCAACATATATTTAAAAGAAAAAGAAAAACATGCAAAATTACTACAAAGACTTGTATGTACTATGTTTCCTAATTAATAATAATAGGCTAGTTCTAAAATTGACCTGACCTAAATATTCACCAAAATATTACGTGAAAATAAATAGCACAATAATTACCACCACAGAATTACTATAAGAACTATAAAAAAAATTGAAGTGAAACAAATGTGTTACATTGTGTTATTGTATTAAAAAAAAATCTAAATTCTGAATAATTTTGAGAAAAATCCTTAAGGTTAGAAGAACCAGTAGGCTATACCTGAATGACCGGCTCCAGTAACATTGTGTACAGCAAATAGAGAGGTTCCTGCACACCAGTTAAAGATGTATCCCAGCTTGTTGATGTGACTTTGTTGGCCTGTCTTTCCAAGACACCCTAAAGTATGTTCCTGTCAGGTAGGACTCATGCAGTGAAGCTGATACTGTGTTCTGAGAGTAGGCATAAGGGTGATTCACAGTGTTGAAAGTGGCCTCCAAATAAACGGGCACTTTGAGAGCTTAACTAGCACGGAATACAACACAAACTGCATGTTAATAACACTAAACGGGTGCATTACAGTTCTCTGCAGACTTGAAGTGAAAGCTTAAATTAGTGAATGGATGTGGATTAGCAATGGCTTCCTAATTTAAGTCATAATGTGCAATTTACACTGAAACAGCAATGTCTCTGTAGAAAGGCCAATTTCACACTAGGTGCACAAGCAGCACTCATGTTATCGGGTTAATATGGCATACCCTTGGGCTCAAAATAATACCATCCTTACAGATTACAAAGTATGACTTTGCATCATGTCTCACTGAATGCGTTTTAATTTAAAAAAATAATATGACAAAATCATAATTTGGAGGCCAAAATGGAACCACTGCACAGGCACTCATCATGACACTAGAGGGCCCTAAATCACCACTTTGGATTTATTTATTTTTTTAATTGTTTATTTTGTCTTATATTCACAAGCATGTTTAACTGTTAACCTGTGCCTTAGTGTGACGTTTACTTTTAGGGGGCGGGGTTCCAAGACAGGTTTGAAAAACAATTAATTAGATTTTGAAAGATTATTTAAATTGTTCATGTTTTATGCCTTCATTACCAGTTTTTTTTTTGTTTGTATTCAATCATAAATCCAGAAAAAATTACAGACAAGTTTTTTTTTGTTTGTTTTTTTTATAAAACATTTAGGGTCATGCCAGTCAAAGAGACATGCCAGTGAAAAACAAGGAAGAGTTGATTTGTGAGGAGAGAAATCACGTTTATTTTCCAAAACTAAAATTAAACTCCTCACCTCAAAAAAAAAAAACCAGTATCCTTCAAAAAGGTCTCTAGTATAACGGATAAATAAAATAATGTTAAATAAAATGTTAAAATTCTAAGCCTTCTTGCACTGGATGTGCTGGTTTCGGCCTCATTGCTGGCTGCAGTCATGTCCTCATCTCATATATAAAACACCTCTGATTCACAAATACTTGCTAAGGAACTCGCATGGATGTGCTGGTTTCGGCCTCATTGCTGGCTGCAGTCATGTCCTCATCTCATATATAAAACACCTGTGATTCACAACTACTTGCTAAGGAACTCACATAAAGTAGCCTTGTTGACAAGTTTGGGTGAGTAAGGGCAAAATGCACAAGATATAGTACTTTAAGTGCCCTGTAGTTGGCCATATCACTTCTTTTGTAGCAGAAATAAACTGCTGCAGAAAAAGCTAGGTGCCATGAAAAAATTGCAACACTCATTACAAATGTAGTGGAGTAAAGAGTACAGATACTTATTAAAAAAATGTAGTGAAGTAGAGAGTAAAAGTTGCTAATACCTTTGATACTCAGTAAAACTACAGAGTATCCAAAAAGATACTCAAGTACAGTAATTACATTTACTCAAATACTTGGTATGCCACACACAACACTATGCACAAAAGCAAATTACCCTTCTCAGTCTTCTTTTTATTTTGAACATACACCTCCAAGCTTATGAGTTCACATTAAATTTCTGCTAGATGTTGCCCCCATCAAAAAGTGCCCAAAATATTCAAACTTGAAGTAAATGAGGTAACAACAAAAGTTCAAATACACAAGATGTTTACAAAGAGCATAGTAGTTGCAGATTGATAGGAGAGACAAAAAAAAAAAAAAAGACAGTAATTCAGTCAGACAGGCAGGCAGTTTGTGTAGCGTGGTACAGGTTTGGATTCTGTGCTCTGTATAGTAAGTGCTTGAAGGGTTTTCCAGAACTGCTCATGGTTCAAGCTAAGTGGTCTGGCTCCTCTCAGGCTTTGCAGAGAGCCACAGCAGAGAAACGCACCTCCCCTTTCTCCCGCTCTGTAAACTCACGGCACACCCTTGCCGCATCCTACAGAGAGATGAAGTCAGTTATTCAGTCACAGGAAGATGACTCATTGTTTTAAGATGCTCTGAATCTACCGTTTTAACCGTAGAACATGCTACAGTTGCAATTAACTACAAACACCATGCCCAGGAAAATGTGTGCTTACCATGACGAAGCTTCCTGGTTTTGAAGGTCCATGATTCACAGGTCCATCCATTCTGCCATCTGAGGCAACAAAACACCCACTTTATAGCTCAGAGACATTTAAAAAAGTAAGTTTAAACTTAAACGCAAGTCGTCGGCACAGAAACAGACACTACATGTCATCCACTTACCCAGCTCATAAAGCTGACCGTTCACATTGACAAATGTAATGAAATGGAAGTTAACTTTGTCTGCCTCTGGCTGTTAGAATAAGAGAGATGGAGAGGGGAAAAGAAACAATTTAATTTAAACTCATTACTCCTAGTGTTTGTGTATGTCATTCTTGTCTTACCAGACACTGTCCTTCATCAGCAACTGCATCATGAGATTCCTGGATGGCCTGAATAAAACAACTTAACTTTAAAAACACAAATCAAGCCTGAATGCATTTGTTTTAATTAAACACCAAAAAACTATGGAAAATAAAAATAGTACAATAAGTACATTTTCATTTATTCACTTAGGAAATGTAAATTGTAGAATAGTACCACCTACTCGAGGTCATGAATACTGCACAAATATTAAAATAGGTCTTAGTTACAAGTACTTTGACATTTCTGAAGTTAATCTTGGTTTTTGGCAAAGATTATGTGGCAAATCACATGTTTTGTGCGACTCAACATTTAATGAACACTTACAATACCTTATTTTGTTCAAATGCTTTGGCTCTTTCTGCAGCAGACATCTCTGAGGTGTCTTCTAGAAGCTTCTTCAGTGCAGAGTCACTGTCTAAAGACAAGAGGGTGCTGAATCATGAATCCACCTCTCTCACCAATCTAAACTAACTGTCAATTTGTAACTTTGTATTTCATATGCATGTCAAATTTTAAGATATAATATAAAATTAAATATAAATTAAACAAAAATAAAATTATTTTTCAAATCAACAAGGTCATCAGCTCAATTCAGCATCAGAAAACATCATGAATATGAGCAGAAGTTCATGGCACACGTCTCCACTCACCGAAATCAACACTGTCCTGGTTGTTGGCCACAGCATGTACCAAACCCACAGTTCCACAAGAGTTGACCACAGTTTGTTTCAGAAAATATACACCTTTAGAGTCGTCAACAGACTGTTTGGAACGAAACTCCTCGTGCTAAAAACAAAGAGAGATATCGGTGTTAAAGTTATATAACTAATGCACTTCATTCTGTGAGAGTAAAAGATAGGCCACTGATTTGAAATACTACCAATGAGCCAAAAAATAACATTTACAACTAAAATAAATTTTAACTTGGGTATAATAAAACTACGCAACTTTGAGCATCTACGTTTTTCACATATTGATTCCTCACGTGAGAGGTGACCACGCCCGCGTTGTGCGCGCGTGCGTCCGTACGTACCTGTTGCGTTAAAGGGAAGAGCAGCATCATGGCACAGCTGGGTGAGGGCACTCCTGACAGAGACTCATCCTCCAGACCCAAAACATCCACAAAACGCCAACTCGAGCCCACACCCAACTTACTCAACACCTACACAAAGACAGAAAAAAAAAATCACATTATTCTTGACCCGTATATCGATTCAAATCAAACAAAATCAGTGTCTGATATATTAAAAGTTTGAAATGACCATATGTTATAAACGACTAGTATATCTGTAACTTGTGATATGATGCAAAATGACAAATTATTGCGTTAAGCATGCGTATAAAAAATGCTGCGTGTCACTGTTATTGTGCATAGCAGGTGACAACGCGTGTGAGCCCACGCCCTTTCATCTCAAATTGGAGTCCGTGGAAGTTCAGCCCCAGACCCGTCCAGCAGACAGTCTCATCATCACCTCATCTTATGACTCAGCGAACGTACCTTATTCAGCATCTGAAAGCAATATGAGCGCACAAACATGTCGGTCATGAGAAAGCGAAACCATGCGCGATAAATCAGCTGGCGAGGCTAAATCATGAAAAAGCGTTAAACCTCAGGGTTTATTTCCATCGGTTTCCACTCCATGATTGCAGACGCTCGTGAGTGCCACTCCTCCGAGATCTGAAAGGCGCCGCCCCAGAAAGAAACACAAACCAGACTGAAAGCGCACGAGGATCATATGCGACCGGTCATATTCCATTTGCACAGACCGGAGGGGTGTCCGCTCAAACAAACGAGCTATTTATGCACTTCTGGCACACTTATTCACCCCGCTAGAGAAACGTTTCTGTATATTTCGAGTATCGGGAAAAGTCAACGCAACACGGAAAAGAGAGAATGGCAAAAATGACTGGGAGGTGGTTGAGATTCTCCAGCAATAGATCGGTCCGCCGTCTGCCGATTCTGGAAGCTACCACTGTTCTCCAGTTCTGATTTTAAAAAAAGGGGAACATTTTACAGTAGAGTTAAGTGGACCAGTTATGAATTAAGTGCACTTAATGGCTCGAAGCTGCATAAATCAGAACTGAATAACTAAATTCAACTTTACCCAACTCACATAATAACACTTTACTTTGAGCTGAGTTCTGATGAAATAACAACTGATGACTTGCACTTTTTGGTATCTTTTAAATAACTCCTGTTTCTGTGTTTGTAAAATCCAGTTTACACACTCAAAGAGATTTACCATACTGATTATTACCATAATTTGGAAATTAGATGATTTTTTTTTTTTTTTTGAAGAATACCCTGCTCTTGATCTTGAGAGAGAATGGGGATTGAATGACAAATGAACAGCATAAATGCTTATGAAAGTAGTAAATACAAGGCATTCTAAATCCATTTATTCAATCTCAATATTCACAGAAAATCTCAACAGCTGTGGTGAAAGGTTGGAATGATTCTCAAGTCAAGTCTGCTTTATTGTCAATTCTTCCACATGTACAGCACATACACACAGAGAATTGAAATTTGAAATTTCTCAGACCCTTGGTGCATACAGATAACACTAACAGTAGAACATAAATACAGATATACAGATTAAGTATAAAATACAACTATACAAATATACAAATAAGGTAAAATGTAAAAAAATATATAAAAAAATATATATAAAGCAGCACACGGCACATGGCAGATAGAGTGCAAACCAGTGAAGTAAACAACAGTGCAGATATAATGATTTGTAGTGCAAAAAGAGCTTATCTCCTGAAGTCAACAACAATCTCCTTCGTCTTCTCCACATTCATTCTGGGGGCACACAACAATTTTTACATGTATTTTTAAAATGTATTGGGCCATTACAGTTAGGGAGAATTCCTAGTTACAGTACTGCACTGGCACAAGTTCTCCTTTGCACACTGAGAGAAAAACCTTGTCCAATTCTAATCTTTCTTTAAGTTAAATCTTTTCATTGAACTGGTTGACCAATGTGAATAATTCAGTTCACTGATCCACTGATCCATTCGCAATGATTAAAAGAATTGTTAACTAAAAAAAATAAACATTTTCTGAAAATGTATTCACCCTCAGGCCATGTTTGTTTCTTCAGCGAAATTTATTACATCATTTGCTCACCAATAGATCCTCTGCAGTGAATGGGTGCCATCAGAATGAGAGTCCAAACAGCTGTTAAACACATCACAATAATCCATGCTACAATCCATTAATTTACATCATTAAGATGTTTTAACTTTAAACCATCACTTCTGGCCATAATCCATAATAACGGTTCCTCTGGTGATAAAGTCCATCACCTGTTGTCAAAATAAACTGACATATTTGTTTAGAACTGCTTTGGACTGCTTTTACTTGTGCTTTTACAGTGCTTGATCTTTGCATATTTCTCTTCTGATTCAGACAACTTTTTCACTGAAGAAACTGGATACAGATAACTCGTTTTTTAGCCAGAAACAGCGGTTTGCAGTTAAAAACGTCTTAATGATGAATTTGTTTATTATTAATATGCAGCTTTTTGATTCATTAGATGTTAACTGATGGACTGGAGTGGTGTGGATTACTTGTGGATTATTGTGATGTTTTTATCAGCTGTTTGGACTCTCACTCTGACGGCACCCATTCACTGCAGAGGATCCATTGCTGAGCAAGTGATGCAATGCTACATTTCTCCAAATCTGTTGAAGAAACAAAACTCATCTACATCCCTTTAACAGTTTAATCACATAATTATATATTAACTTCACAAGAATTGATAGTGCATGGAACATATGGACAAATTTACCTGTACTTTTATGATGCTTTTGTGTCCGTTTTCAAGCTTGAAAGCACCAGTTCCCCATTCATTATAACTGCATGTAAAAGGGACAAGAGCATTATAGAAAATTGCTGATTTTGGCATAGTAGGCCTAACAATAAATAAATAATAAAAAGAGTAATAACAAAAATATAATAATATAAAACCAACAATATTGTCAAGCACTAAGGTTACAGGTGAATTAACACTACATGTGCACATACTAACATTACAAACAATTCCACCTAAAATGTTGTGATGGTAAAGACAGGACAATGGCTTTTTATGTATTCATCAGCTATTTGTGCATCTGTAGTATATCTTAATTTCATGCTAAGTCTTTTTAGAACACAATGCAGTTGCAATTGTGTTTGGGCTTGAAATTTGATCAGCAAGTCTTGCACGCATCCACGTGGAAATGATCAACAATGGGTTACTTTCCAAATAAAATATTAGATTTGTGTAACGTGACACCCATCTTTGTGTGTTTGAGTAGACTTAATATGTTGCCTGGCAGATAGCTTTTCTCTGTTTGTCTTATTAAACAGTGAGAGCACCTGCTGGAACAACACTTTGTTGACCAACAGGGTGGGGAACCACCAGCACCGCATCAGAGTTCACAAACCAGCCTCCTGGATGGAGAAAGTTGATGTTTATAAGTTTGAATAATAACTGCTTACATTCTTCTAAAAATGGTTCTCTGTACTGTGATCTTCTGCAATGCCTGGTCTTCAGCTGTGATTCATTGCACAGATATGTAGAAATATAAGAAGAAAGCAGAAAAACACCACTACCCATAAGTCACAGCGTCTGGCTGATTTGCCAGGGTGTGGCTCAACCCTCAGCACATCGCAGTGGAGTTTAATCCTCCTAGTGAGTACTTCATTCCTCATTCCTGCTGCTGCTGCTGCTTCGGTCTGTACTGCAGTCATCTACTGCTCCTAAACTGAAACTCTTCTCTCGGTAAGTGAATGGAAACGGCACTTCAACTCTAATCCTTCAACTTTTCCTACTCATGTTTCTATAGAGTAGCCTACACAGGTACGACCCTACCTGTCTGAAAACATTTCAAACATTTTTTCCCCTTCTCAATACTTAATAAACTTGCTTTTTATTATTTTATAATCACATTATGCATTTATTCACATCGATGTTTATTACTGAACAGTTATGTTGTCATTTTCTTTCTCTCTCTCCTTTTTTAGCTTCGAGCTCTTTGAAGTATTACGTGAATCCCAAAGATGGTAAGTTATAGTTTACTGCTGTAATGAAAGTCTAACATCATTTGTAGCGTGTTTTAATTTTTAACACATCTTTGTTTTTGAAGATACTTAATGTTCTGTATAGCTAGATTTGCGACATTTTTGTGTCGTCGCCCGTAATAGCTGCGTAGGGAAGAAAAAGACTTCTTAAAGGGGCACAGTAGGCTACTTGTTGCATTGCTGTCAAACTCTTACTACAGGATGAAACGATGCTTTTTCACTATCCTGCAATATAGGCGACACACGATGCTTTTGGAAGCATTATTATATAGGCTACATATGATTCATGGATTCCAACTATTCCAGAGAGCGTTTACGTTTTCAATGCAAATGTTTAGAAATAAACAAAATAGTGGTAAACGAGAGCATCGATGACTCACTCGCGTGAGCTGAACCACCCGAAGGGCGTTCCTGTCTGTCTCCCTCGGTTTCTTCACTCTGCTATCCTCATCTCTCCTCTGCTTTGTTCCTCTAATTCACCCCATTCCGCTGAGTACAAGTAAACTGGTGAACTATTTCCGCTAACGTGGCGGATAATAATAATATTTCATACAGAACAAAGTCAGCAGTATAATGTTTTGATAGGCTACTATGATGCTACTCGTATCAGACGTTTAGTTTACTGTCAATAAGAATATAACCAGGACCGAAAAACTGAAATCACTTTTCATTCATTAATACCTAAGCTGCAGATGCATTGTAAAATAAATTGGTTTTAGCTGAAACGGGGAGATTGGAGAACACTCGTACACTTGTTTCTGCAGGTAAATCAATATTGCTTTCATTTCCGTATATTTGGATATGTCAAATATGTTTGTTCACTCTATTGTTTGGACTGAGGCTGAGTAACATGACTCCAACTGACAGAGTTTTAGTACTAGGACAAAAGGGCTACAGAACTGTAAAAAGATAAATGTTTATTATATATAAGGAGAAGTAATCGGATTAATCTGTTCAGCATGTTAACATGTATTCAGCTATATTTTGTTGTGATGCCTTGCTTCTGTTTTGTCAGATATTTCCAGCTTCATCTAGGGAATTGTCACCACAGCCAGATTTGGAATCTGATGGTGTTGATAATCATATTTTGCTTATTTTGTGTAAAATTTAAATTAGCCTAAATAAAGTAAAATGCTCTAAATAAAATGGAAAATAGCAGCACCATTACCTAAAATGTAAGGGGGGGGGGGGGGGACTAGCCTGGGTG